CAACTGCCACCAGACACAGTAAGGCTTCAAACAAACAAAATACTTCTTTACACCACCACATTTGACTGAGTTTTCACTTTGTAATTGAAACCAGACTGAGGATCCTGAAATATAGTCAAATTTATATTAATTAATTAGTGATTACATACATTAACTTTCGGCAAATAATAATTGCTTTACCCTTCCTACCCCCACCTCAGTTTACCCCCTCAAGAAACCGATTTTATTTCATTAAAACATGCACTTATATAATAATATTAAGTGAGAGGCCTAATTACCATTATTATAGCTTAACATGGTGCAAGGCTGCAGTTTAGCTAGGCCAACAAGAGGATCTACACATAGCCACAATATTGGTCCAAAGCATTTAATAGCTTTAGAAAGCATTGAAATAGCATTGATATAGCTGGTAGCATAAAATAGCTTTATGAAGCATATTGAAATAGCATTAATATAGCTGGTAGCATAAAATAGCTTTATGAAGCATAAAGGTTTATTATTAAAATAATTAAAAATAATAATAAAAATAATAATATGAAAATAAAAATAATAATACATAATAAATAATAATTGTGTGCATTTCAATAGATAGAAGAATTTTAATTACAACATATAAAAAACTTCATTATAATGAACTTACATAAATTTGCTTTATATATGCACTGTGCATTCATCTTTATTGCTTATTTTGGCACTCTAAGTTTCGCAGTCAGCAATCTTCTTAACTATAGCTGTTAACATTTGCAACTTGAAATTCTCCATATAACTGCACCTGACATTCTGAAAAACAATAATATTATAAAGATTATACAGTATAAGCTAATCAGCATGAGGGAAATTAATTAAATTTCACATGTCCTAGGACAAGTACCTTATAAAATTCAGTTCCTAAAGACATTTCATTGTGCAAGAATACACAACTGATAAATATTAATATACTCCCCAGAAGTATATACTCACTGGGAAGTATTTTAAGTGGTGAGCGCCACACCAATGTCAATTCTCCTGAACGGAAAAATATAAACAGAAAGAGCCTTAATCCAAGGACACATTTGAATGGCCTGAGTGAGGTAAGAGCCCCTACATGCATATTTAAGTATCCAACTCACCCTTTTTTAATATTCTTTTCCTGGTCGACGGCTTGAAGTGCACATATTTTTGGCGAACAATTCATTTTTGGAGTGGTCGATATCAAAAATAAAAATTGCAATTTCTATAGCCTTGAAACTTGTAGGAAAGTTGAAGTGTAAATTTAACGTTCAGTTTGAATTTAGAGTTCACAACAGAAAATACCTGACATCAAATACTCGCAGAGCCTTGCTTCAAAATTCAGTTAATCCTGTTAAAAAACAATCAAAAACAATATAG